AGGCAGAGTTGCTCTGCCCCAGGCTTCCTGGAATCAGCCACTGATCAGTTTCAGCAGCAGCTGACTTGAGGACGCCTTACTTTCTTAAGTTGAATCTGTATGTAAGTCAGAACTGGCATCCAGATTCAGCCGCGGGTGAAACTGATCAGTCAGCAGCAGCTGACTTGAGGACGCCTTATCTAGTCCAGACGTTGATTTAAGTGATAGTTGCCTGCCTCTCAGTTTCAGCAGCGGCTGACGCCAGTTCCGACTTACATACAGATTCAACTTAAGAACAAACCTACAGTCCCTATCTTGTACGTAACCCGGGGACTGCCTATATTACAAACTTCAGCCACATGCAAATTGGGGCTGTAGCTTTCAGGGCTTCTGAACCTAGGGACCACCAGAACTTCTGATTGGAGGCTTCTGCCCCCAGGAGCAGCAGGTCTCAGGGCTTTAGACTGGGGCGAGCACACCTCTAGGGTATGTTCATACTTGAAAGGAACCTGGGACTAAGAAAGCAGAGAATTCGACAGGGTGGTTACTACTTAGCAGAATTTAATTTGGCTCATCAAAGTAGAGATGTAAAATCCCATTTAATTGACTAACTGGTTAAACATAATGTTTAACCAGTTAGTCATTTAAAGGGGATGAACTCGGGTGGGGTAGGGGGCCGCTGGGCTGGAATGACACTCCTCTGCTGCAGACAGGTAATGCTCCAGCTAGAGCAGTCCCTTGTCTGTGGTCCCTGCCTCCGGTTCAGTCAGGGTCTGTGCTGGCCAGGCTGGACCATCTCCTGCCTGCAGTGGGCTAGGGCATCTTGCAGATAGGGGCTGCTCTGGCATCCCGGTTAGAGAAGCCCCTACCTGTGGAGTCCCTGGGTCAAATATCTTTGGAGTTCTTTTGCACACCAGCTGCAAATAAAAAGCAACAGTCCTATTAAAGGAATGAAGACAGAATAAAATATAAAATAGATCTGGAGCTATATTGGCTTATCACAAATTATTGTCTGCTGTGTAACTCAAAATGTATTCTTCAATTTAATTAGCATGAGAAAATTTTGAAAAAGGATGAGAGATATGTATAAAGAAACTTTCTAGTTTTGACATACATATTAAAAAGTCGCCAATAAAATAATTCAACTTGTAGAAAATAGTCTTCAATGTCCCCAACATGTGGTTGGCATTATGGTGCATTTACATGAAAATATATGTGAAGGATGAAGGGGAAGTGGCCATTCTAGTCCAATTCTCTTTTACAGTGAGGTGATCTTCAAAGCAGATTTTACGGTATTATAGTTACACACTAACAGTGGAAGAAATGGTATGTCTAAAACGGAAAGTATCCCTATACAGGGAATTTATGTTGAAAAAAATTCTACATCTCTCCACAGTCATTTATTTATTATATTTATGTAGTTTTAATACTTACATCTAAAAACTCTGTTTTGGATTCCTAAAAGATGTGCAGATTTTGTCCACGAAAGAGATAATAATTCAAGTATATGTTGCAGGCAACTAACTTATTTTCATGGTCAGTTAAGTATAGGGCAGCATAGTTAAACTGTTTCCTCCACTAAAAAATGTTGGATAGAAATCTAATTAGATTCACATTTAGAAGTCAAATAGTTTTTAGACAAAACAAGATCTTTCAGCATAGTCTATCACTTAATTAAGGGTAGTATTAATCTATTTTTTTCTGTACTTTTATAAATCTTTAGCTTCTCTTTTAATAATCCAAAAATATTTAGTCTACTGAAGATTTATCATATTGGAATTCTAGACTGTACTGTTTTATTTTTATACTAATTATAACTGATCAAATTTTAGATAGCCATCTATTTTGTTTTTTTATGATAGAATAATTCTTTGACTTTAATGACAACATTCATTATATGTTAATAGATTTAATTTCACTAGGTCTACATTTGGTAACAGAAAACATCTCAGGGGCAAAGTCAACACATTTGGGTTCCTATAGCTAGACAATGAAATCCATATTTGCATACCGACATAACTAAACTAATTTTGAGAATGGACAATCTGTAGCCCACATTGAATTTTTTCCAAAGATTATTTAGGTGTCAGTTATTTAGGTGCCTAAATAAAGATTTAAGGGCCTAAGGTTGACACCCACATTTTAAAATATTCGCTAAAAAGATACTTATTCTGCTTCTACAATATTTCCTCCCTAGACACAAGAAGAATTTATTACTGATAAATACAATGTTACTTTTTACATTTTAATTATAAACATGTAGAAATGCAAAACAAATCGTGCATCAAATTAATTAGCTTTACCCAGCTACCGAAGACAGCTGTCCATTCCTTTCCTCCTAACATATTTGCAGTAAAAGCAAAACTAAAAGACTATTGCACAATGTACAGTGATTTCAACTTAAATTTCTTTCAAACTTTTCCTCCTAGACAGCGACTGATGAACTGTCAGTCTCACACTTTGTAAAACAGAACCTTTAAAGGGTCATGACTTTACAAGATGATGAAAACAGTTTTTTCCATCAGTCTAATTTAGTTATTTCACGAGGCTCTTCATTTCAGCAGCACATTGTCTAGATGAATCACCTAGGTTTTAAATTTAAAGAAAAACAAAACACAAACTTTTTCAGAGTTAATGATATTCTAATAAAATAATCTGAAGCAAACTAAAAAATATTATTATTTAGTTATTGTGACACTGACAAATTTAAAAAAGTTTTTACAAATTTAAAACTAGGTGCGTTGTGTTCTTCTGGTTATTGCTTTATATCGTGAGTAGGAATAAACACCACATTAGACCGATTAGCAGAATGGATCAGACACCTATACTACATTCTTATTTGTAAACAGTGTTACTATTCACTAACATTTTGACAATATCTTGAATAATATATTTAAGATCATAGAAAAGTGCTGCTAAGTTCTCTCCAATGCAACATTTATGCCTTTACATGAGTATTTAAACCTGTTTCTTTGAAGGAGTCACTAGCATGCAGTCAGAATCCTGGTACTATATAAATTAAAAAAGGAAAGGACGTCTGGCCTTGACCTTTATTATGCATTAATTTATATTCCTCCGACTAATAGAATGATACTAAAACGATATGATTCAACAGGAAATACATCAAGCTATTGTACTGAGGAAACCTGTACACAGTTCTGGAAGTTTGCTAAATGATAACTGATTTGATACAGTTTCAGACGTATAACCTGTCAAATCAGGTACAAATAAAAATAAAAATAAAAGATAGCTTTGTAAATGTAATAGGCGGTAAAACATTTTAAATTATTTTTATCATGTTAAATGAATGATCCAGAATGCTATGCTATTTATGGATTCAAAAACTGTATTATCTGTATTTAACACCAGATTTGAAGAATATTTGTAGGGCTTAATATATTTGGGATTTTATGCTTTTTATGGGATGTCTTTAAAAGTTGGTCTTTATCTGTTCAATACCAACTAGAGTAACTATTCAAACAATATGTTCTCCAGAAGCATGTGTCCTTATTTTACTTAGTTGAATTTGGAATATGTACTCAGATTTATATCCATTGATAGTAAGTTATCCATTTTTTCTTGAGTCTGAATGTTCTACAAACCATATATATAAAATATATGGTCACCATGGAGTATTTGCATACAACAGATTTCTCTCTCTTAAAAAAAAAAAAAAGGATTCAGCCTTTTGTCTCTTTTTAAAATCAGGCTCAGAGCTATGAGTTTTCTATTTTTTTTTTTTTTTTTTTTTTACTCAAACTAATAAAATCAGGAGACTGTGGTGAGATCTAGCGGCATGCAGTTTGATGTCCTCAGCAGGATACCAACAGTCAGAAGTGGTGCTGTAAATTCAATGTGGGGCTTCAACACTGTGCTAAGTGTGGGCTGAATCTCAGGGGCTTCCCTTTGATGCAAGTGCAGTATATTAACTGGAAAAGCATTCACTTTTATTTGTCTGTACTGTCTGCGACAGCAATATCGCCTCATTTAGACTAGTTCAACATGAAAATACACAGAGAAGCAATCTGTTACAAATTAGCATAGCTCCCCTTTCATTTTACTAGCTAGTAATTGGAAGGGGTTAAGAAAGTGTAATTTATCAGATTATATGTGTTTATCTTTGTGTGGGGACAGCATGCCTTTGGTGAATTTTCCTGCATACCCTGAGGGAATAATCTTTCCTTGATGTCCATTTGATCTGAAAGAAAACAATGACGCCTGTGAAATATGGGAGTATAATTTGTTCAGTTGAGAAGGAACAGTTTCCCAGGCATCTGAAACAGTATTAATGACTTTATTAGAACCTTACCTTTCTTTGGAAATGTTTTTACTCTCTCGTTTCCAAATGGTCTTGAAGTCGCTGCAGAACTCGTACCACACAGTGAAGACATAGTTTGGTGTGACCTCCTTCTCGCCAGATTTTGGCTTTATCCCAAAGTATCCCACTGTTTCTTCAAAGCTACAGGGGGAAAAAACTGTCAACACCTAAAGCCCATTGGGGAAGCTTAGTTTCCCTGAGGTCCGGTTCCTGACTCAGTAGCCAAGGTTCATAATTACCATAACTTCCCTTTTACTTTGGAAACCATAGCAGCAATTCATGCCATGTGTAACTAATATTCCAACACCTACTTTTCCCCTGTAGGAATATAATTTTTGTGTGTGTGCATAAGATGCCATTGATGTATAGCATGTACACAAAGCACAAACACTCGTTTTTAATAATAATAATAATTTACTTACCTGTATTTCAAATTACACTTATTAACTTATAATTTTTTTCTGCAAAGCAGAAAAGGGAGTGTCCTTTATCTGACTAAAGGCAAAGAAGAGAGTTTTATGCCAAACGACAAATAATAATCAACAAAAAGGAACCCAAGTGTCACCTGATGATTAGTTTAGAGCAGGACTACTCAACTTTGAAAGCTCCGGGGGCCACAATAATACTCACAGCACATGCTGAGGGCCGCAACTTAAGTGTGGTTGCATATTCATGCAAATATATATGCAAATAGCTTCTCTCATGCTCGTGGGCATGAATACAAAGCACTTCCCATGATGTCCTGGTGCTCTCGGCACCTCCTCCCTGGAGGCTAGAAACGCCGAGACCCTGTTCTAGCCAGTCCGTCCACTTGAGTCTTTTAATGCTCACCCCCCGCATAGGAGATACCTCGCCATTGTGGAGCAAGTTCCCAGTGGAGGCCTGGTTCAAAGAATCCCACCTGTGGGCCACATGTTGAGCTCCATGTAAACCCAAACCACACTGTGGGCCGCAAACATTCAGGCCGTGGGCTGCATGTTGAGTAGCCCTGATTTAGAGACTTTCAGTAGCGATGAGGTGCTCAGCACAGTAGCACAAGTGCCTTAGTCAGTGCCAACAACTAGCTTGCAAAGAGCTAGTATGATAGTGAATCATTCATTTTCAAGAAGTTAGTAAGCTGATAAAAGCAGTAATAATAGGCAACTTTTATTGCCAGTTTTGTAATACACTACAAAAATGCTTTAGCTGTAGTATAGAATAGTAAAGTATCTGGGTATAACTCTCTAGTTTGGTATTCTCTGGGCCAGCAACATCCGTGGTCCAGCATGATTTTAGTTAGCCAGATATTCACTTTTCATAGGTATGGCCAACTTTCCTGTGGTCCCATACATTTTTTTTTTTTTTACAGACACCAGTCCTGGTTCTCAGGGTTCTGTGATGTTGTTTGGCTCTAATATATCCCTAAATGTCTTCTAAAATCCCAATAAGCAGGGGAAGTGTTGGTAATCCTGCTAGATAATATTGACCTTCCTTGGTTTGGCAATTTCTGGTTCAGCACTGATCAGGTCCCGAGGGTTCCAGACTAGAGAGGTTCAATTTGTATTTCTAAAACACTCTTTTTCTGTTGACTATTCTTTTGTGGTATTTTAAGTTATTGTGCATTATGCATTTGGACCATTATTGTATCATATTTCACAGATAAACAGGTAATTGATTCCATGATCATGGTTATGAGATTTACAACTTAAAACAAAGTGTAGAGTCTACAAATTGTCTTTCTTTAGGTTGAATCAACTTTCTCTCCAAATTAGAAATAGCTGTCAAGCTAGCTTTGCAGAGAATGATTACAAATAATGCCATGGGTTAACAGTAAAGGCGATATAAGAAAATCTTTTAAGGGAATTCACTTTTCTTGAAACTCCATCTACATGTGGGCAAAAGGAAGCAAAAAAAAATAAATAAAAATAAAATAAAACTGTGTGTGTCGGCAAATAATAAAATGTAATGTCAACAAATCGCCTTCAACTCATCTTTGAGCAGCTCTCTCTTTCCTTATTAGCTTATCCATTTATACAGATCCATATTTTGGGATAAATTCACAAAGGAGTTAGGTGCCTAGCTGCCGCTTTAGAAACCTGAATCTAAGAGCCAGGTCCCACTGGGATTTACAACTCCCCCCTCCCATTCAACTCCCACCAAATCCTGTAGGTGCCTTAAGTCACAAAGTGCCTATATATCTGTAGTAAATTTTTCTGGGCATATATGTTTCTGACTATGAGCATGACACAGCAACTCCAGACCAGGTGTCCAAACACATAAAGCCCCAAGTGATCCACAAACAGGGGAAAGAAAGGTGTTTCTCTGCCTAACTCACTTGCAGGGTCCCATTCAGCAGACAAATTCTATGCACATTTAATGGCTTGGTCCCCTAAAGGTGAGTGCAACTACATAACCTCCTCCCACCAGGTTTCTTGCATCAACAGCCTAAGCTCTCCTATAGAGAGTTTGCAGCTGAGATCACAAGTGCCATCCTGAAGCTTCCATTTAGATCTTTATCTCCAAAAGAAGGGCAGGACTTAGCACTCACTCCTAGCCTTGGCATTTCCGATTGGCTAGTTTAGGTGAAGAGCTGCATAGGGTGCTAGCTCTTGTCAATCTCATTCTGGGCTACCTTTTCCTCTCTGTTCATTGTAGAGGGCGCTTAGAGGACTAATCCAAGTTTTGAGAATCCCAGTGATTTTCAGGTGCCTAAAAGTTAGTTGTGGTGATGCTGAACATCCCCACATCTACAGTTCTTTCAGTATCTAGCTCCATGTGGTTATATGGAAATTCTATTATTAAGGTTGAGTTTTGCACTTAAAGCAGGGCTTTAACCTTTTTGCCATGTATGAAGAATATAGAGTACCTTCCTCAAAATTACAGCAGTTACACTGGGAAAGTAAGAGCATATGTTCTATCTGGTTTGCAAAATAAAGCAACTGGAAATTCAGCCGAACTGGTCTATGCTTCTCCAGAGTGGCTTTGAGTAGCAAGTGCACAGAGGTGAACATGAATAAGAGTTACAATTTACAAAAAATTAGGATTAATAATTCATATCTTCTGAACATTAGAAATATGAGGCGTGAAGGGAAAACAGAAAAAAAAACCAAATAGCTGATGCATTTTAAAATAATCAGTTAAGCATAATCTAGTATCACAGATTCTAAAATGTCTTAAACATAATTAACAATTTATAACATGGTGTCGCTACAAGGCAGGCTTTTATAAAAACAACTATTACCCACTAAAATGAATAACAGATCCTTTCAATCACAGCTTCACGCCCTGGAACATTCATTGGCAAATTTTCCTACACAGTTGAAAAATAATAAAAAGGAAAATCCTGTAACCCAGATAACTGAAACCAATCAATCAATTGTAAAGGAAGGGCCAATTTATCAGTAACTTTGGTGATTTTGCACGGCACAAGAATGACACAAAGCTTCTGGAACATAAATAGGATGACTAGGGAGGAGTATAAATATATTGCTTGTGAATGCAGGGGAGTTATCAGGAAGGTGAAAGCGCAACTGAAATTGCAGCTAGCAAGGATGAGAAGGGTAACAAGAAAGATTTCTACAGGCATGTTATCAATAAGAGGGTGATCAGGGAGGGTGTGGGGTCCTTACTGGATGAGGGAGGTAACCTAGTGACAGATGATGTGGGAAAAGCTGAAGTGCTCAATGCTTTTTTTGCCTCTGTCTTCACAGACAAGGTCAGCTCCCAGACAAGTGCACTAGGCAATGCAGTATGGGAAGGAGGTGGGCAGCCCTCAGTGGAGAAAGAACAGGTGAAGAACTATTTAGAAAAGCTAGACATACACAAATCCATGGGTCCAGATTTAATGCATCCGAGGGTACTGAGGGAGTTGGCAAATGGCATTGCCTTTTGGCCATAATCTTTGAAAAATCGTGGAGATTGGGAGAGGTCCCAGACAACTGGAAAAAGGTGCCCATTTTTAAAAAGGGAGGAAGGACAATCCATGGAACTATAGACCAGTCAGCCTTACCGCAGTCCCTTGAAAAATCATGGATGGAATCCTCAAGGAATTGATTTTGAAGCACTTGGAAGAGGGGAAAGTGATCAGTCAACATGGATTCCCCAAGGGCAAGTCATGCCTGACCAATCTGATTAGCTTCTATGATGAGGTAACTGGCTCTGCGGACATGGGGAAGTTGATGATATACCTTGACTTTAATAAAGCTTTTAATACGGTCTCCTACAATATTCTTGCCAGCAAGTTAAGGAAGTATGGACTAGATAAATGAACTGTAAGATGGATAGAAAGCTGGCTAGATTGTTGGACCCATCGGGTAGTGATCAATGGCTTGATGTCTGGTTGATAGTTGGTTTCAAGTGGAGTGCCCCAAGGATCAGTTCTAGGGCCAGTTTTGTTCAGCATCTTTATTAATGACCTGGATGAGGGGCTAGATTGCACCCTCAGCAAGTTTGCAGATGACACTAAGCTAGGGGGAGAGGTAGATATGTTGGAGGGCAAGGATAGGGTCCAGAGTGATCTAGATAAACTGGAGGACTGGGCCAAATGAAATCTGATGAGGTTCAACAAAGATAAGTGCAGAGTCCTGCACTTGGGACAGAAGAATCCTAAGCATTGGTACAAGCTGGGGGAGACATGTAGAGGTACATTAGAGCTAACTAACAGCCCAGAACACTTAGAGCCAGGACAGGAGGCTGAAAATAAACTTTACAGGACTGTGGGAAACTTGGCCACACCCCCGATAAGTGGATATCTGGTTAACTAAAATCATGCCGGACTACGGATGTTGCCAGACCAGAGAATGCTGGAGTAGAGAGGTTCAATCATTAGTCAGGTATACATCTCAGCTCTGTAATGTGAGCACATAAAAATGCACACTCAGAGAGGATACAATAGAGAGGAATGTGCTATTTCTCATCAGAGCCAAATTTATACTAGCAAACTTACATTTATCTTTCAGATGATATGTTAATGCAACATTCTAACCTTATTTGGATATTGAAGATCTGGCTGCTCTTTTGCAAAAGAGATAAACCTATGCTTGGGAGTGAGACAAGAAGCATTACAAAATAAATGTGCTTTGCTATTTGTTATGTATTAATGGCTTTGCACATACAATTTCTGGGTAAGTATTTTTTTTCCAGATGTGAGATCTCATGTCTAATCTTGTCTTTTACTTGGCTTTTTTATTTGTGCCTTTCAAAAACTTCTGAAGGAAAGTAAATTATTTTGTCCCCTGTAAACTCTATTCTACTAAATATGTTAGAGCTTACTGAAGTTCATTTGAATGCTGCAAAATCAGCTCAAAGAGCATGACAAACCAAAACAGTAGTTTTTACAGATAATATTAAAATCTAACATTTTTAATGTACTAAGAGCCAGACAACATCTTTACCACAAAGCTACTAAAAAGGCTAACTAACATTTACTTCATTCAGCTCATTTACAAGCAGCTGAATAGCTAATATACAGTGACATGGAAGGTAAAAGCTTCATGTGAACAAAACTTGACAAGTAAGACAGTCTGTAATCCATCTGAAAACTCAGATTCACTGACTTTTCCTTCCTATTCCTGCCTGCCCTTATCAAAATATGGCATGGATAAATGATCTTATATTAAAACTTTATAAATTCCACAAGCATCTACTGTGGTTTATTTTGCAATCTAAATGATGAATGAGTAAATGGCATTCCACTACATTTTCATTGAATAAAGCAGTTATTTATTTATTATATTTTTCAGTGAGACCAAGATTCAATTCATGGATAAAAAATATTTAAACTTCATAGAGAGTGGATTATTTGATTTAAACCACTTTTTTCACATCCTATTCTGCAACAGGACATAAAAAACATGACACTGAGTACTGTATTTTTAAACTACAGTAGTCTTTCCTATTTAATTGGTATTGACTTCCTAAGATCAATAATGTCTTTCATTTTGGTTAAATACCTGTTTCAAAGGACTGGAGAACTTACCTTTTTTGTGCATTCTCCAAACAGTTCTCTTCTGTTTTATGCTCTTCTTCAGCTGCAAAATGAAAAGCGTTGGTATTTTAAATCAGGATCTGACTATTGTACTCTTTGTTTTACATTGTTTTTTATAGTACACATTTTATTATGTTCAGGTTTGATAGTTTGCATATTACATATAACAAAAACATTTCATTATTTTACAGTAATTGCCCATATGTTCAATAAATGTATGTTCAAACTTCATCAGGAGAGAATACTCAGATTTTGAAAGTAATGTATAAAATAGTGAATCGTGTTATATTTCAGTTTCTTGCCATGTAATGCAAATGATCTAATTTTAATTTCCATTTAAAAATAACTAATTTAAGTGTCCACTATTATTAGAGACTAAAACAGTAAGAGTAATCCTATGTCTACACCATGCACATTAAAATGGCACAGCTGGGCTGTTGTAGTTACACTGAGGTAAGGTGAGCTGTATAGGCCACTCTATTGCCAGGAGAGAGCTCTCCTGGGGCATGTCGACACAGCAGGGCAAAACTGGAATTAAGCTACACAACTTCAGCTATGTCAATTGCATAGCTGAAGTCAAAATAGCTTAATTCAGCTTTTGGTGCTGTCTTCACAGCAGGAAGTTGAAGGAAGAACACTTCCCTTACTCCTCATGAAATGAGGGTTACAGGAGTTGGAGTAAGAAGTCCTCCATCTCAATGTTATTTCAAAATAATGGCTTGCTGTGTAGACACACGCTTTGTTATTTCAAAATAACGTAAGCTATTCTGAAAAAATGCTGCTGTGTAGATGTACTCCCATGACAAAATAAAACTATTCTCAATGAGAGGCAGTAGCTTCATCACTGGAAGAGCATTTCCTGATGTTGAAGCACTGTCCATACCCGTGCTATTCATAGATATTTTTCCCCAAACCTAAACAACAACATTTTTAATGATGAAAGTGCAGTGTCGAGTCAACCTATTCTTGCAGGACATATCATTGGATGCTGCTAAATATACACTAAAGAATAGTTAATAACGTCAACCATTTCACACTAAGGGTGCATTTACACTGCACCATTATTCTGAGATAACTAGTTTTGAGATAAAACATTATTTTGAAATAATTTCAAATTTCAATATGATAATTTCAAAATAATGGATGGCTTATTCCAAAATCTGTAAACCTCATTCTTCGAGGAATAACACCTATTCCAAAATAGCTATTTTGAAATAAGGTGTGTGTAGACGTTCCACTTCGGCTCTTTTGAAATAGAATGGCACTGGTGAGGGGCTAAGTTATTCCTCCCCAGTGCTTCCTGGGGCTCTAAATTGAGATAGTACGTCTACATTAGGGAAGCCTGCCTCGGACTAATTTTGAGGCTTCCCTGCAGTGTAGATGTGCTATTTTGAAATAAGCTATTTCAGAATAACAACAACTTATGTTGAAAGTAACTTAGGGTATGTCTACACTTGCACCTTCATTCGAGAGAGGGATGCAAATGAACACATTCAAAATTGCAAATGAAGCCAGGATTTCAATATCCCATACTTCATTTGCATATTTGCGTTATGGCACTATTTCGAAATAACAGACGCTGTTAAAACACGGTTATTTCGAGAAAAAACCCTTCTCTTGAAATAACCCTTATTCCTCATACAATGAGGTTTACCAGTTATTTCAAGAAAAGGGGTTTCTCTCAAAATAACCACGTCTTAACAGCGTCTGTTATTTCGAAATATCACTATGTTGAAATAGCGCCATAATGTGAATATGCAAATGAAGTGTGTGATATTTAAATCCCAGCTTCATTTGCAATTTCGAAGTCTTCATTTGCATCCCTCTCTCGAAAGAGGGTGCAAGCGTAGACATACCCTTGCATTTCTTACAGGTTCTATTCCATCACACCCCTCCCCTCATGGGGTCTCAGGACAAGGGAATGGGGGTGGTGACGTTTCTAATACAACAGTAATTGTAAGAAATTTAAATGCAGGGGGCTCAGAGCAGGAGGTTGTGTGTGGGTGTGGGGAGTGCAGGAGTCAGGGCACGGGCTTGGAAGTGTGGGGGGCTTAGGGCAGGGAACAGGGAGTGTCTGGGGATGCAGGAGTCAAGGTGGGAGGTATGAGGCGGGACTTAGAGCAAGCGGTTGGGATATATGTATATAGGGGAGCGTGCAGAGGGGACAAGAGGGTTAGTGAGGGAGGATAGATTGCTCATTCCTCTGCTCCTTCTCCTCCTCTCTCCCCTCCTCAACCAGGAGGGAGAGAAATGCATGCCTGCTGTGTACCTTCCTCTCATTCCCTGATGGGAAGGAGAACAGAAAGCACAGTGAAGTTTTAGAACATAACTATCCTTATTCTCAGGGCTTGACAAACGGCGGCGAAATCTACTTGCCAGCCCTTCACTGCGCATGAGCAAGACCTGCATTGTGCATGCGCGCGCCGCCAGTGAATGGGGTGATCGGCTGAAATCTACTCGCCATGGGCAAGTAGAAACAGGGATTTGTCAAGCCCTGCTTATTCTAAACTAATCCTGTAACTATGTGTAATAAGCTTTTTAACTGTAGAATGGAAAAGGAGCTGACCACTGGTTTTGTGAGTGCAGCAGTTATCAGACAGAGAGGAAGTTGGGGACTGGCAGAAGTGTCAGGATGATATGTCCTCTGAATACCAAGTGCTGGGTTCCTTTGAAGAGAGCACAAACCCTAACCAGTTCTATGCAAAAACATTTGATGGCAATGCAGCCAGGCATACACTTCCTCTCAGGTGGCCCTGTACAGGCTACATCATGAAAGAGAAACTCAGGTACAGCACTATTTAAAATGGTTTGGGTAGAGAGGGGACACTCCCCTACCCTCTTCCCATATATAAGTAACTCAGCATCTCCTTCACCACGTAGGGGTCCTTTAAACTTCGGTGCTATTTCAGGATACTGCAGGTTTCAAAATAATGGGCTCACTATTCTGATGTCCCTGTAACCCTCATTCATTGGCAAAGGTACTCACCCAAGTAGTGGGAAATCCCTTTCTACCATCAGGCAGAGATGAGAATTAAACTAAGAATGGCCACATCCTGGGTAGATACCCTAACCACTGTGCTAAAGGTTACAATGGAAGCCATGCCTCTTCCTGCTCTCTCTTTTTCCCCACACCATTTTGCATGGAGTTAGTCTCAGAACATGCCTACTGGACTAGGCCACAAAGGGAAGGCAGGCACTCCTACACCTATCTACCCCCAATTTGCAGATCACCCAGGGGCTTAGAAGTGAGATGGGCATCTGAACACCAGGGATTGTCTACACTGAAAACTTACATCGGCATTACTGTGTCTCTCATAACAAATCCACATCCCTGAGAGACATAGCCATGCTGACCTAACCATTGGTGAAACAAAAGGAAAAACTATGTAGCACTTTAAAGACTAACAAGATGGTTTAGTAGGTGATGAGCTTTCGTGGGTCAGACCCACTTTCTCAGATCATATTCTGGAAGAGGATTGGCATGACCATATAGACCAAAGGAATACAATGAAAAAAGTGAACACATTATTAAACTGACAAATCAGATTTAGTACAGAAGGTGGGGTGAGGGGAAGGGAGGGAGTGAATAGTTATTTGAGTCAATGAATGGCTAATCAGGAGTGATAAGTGGGAAGCTATCTTTGTAATGGTTAAGGTAATTAGCATCTTTGTTAAGGCCCATTCGTAAGGTGTCAGATTTAAGCATGAAAGAAAGTTTTGAAGTTTCCCTCTGTAATCTGGTGTTAGTCTCTTTGAGGTAAGATGCATGTAGTAAGGTCATTAAGACTATGTACAGGTAAGTTGAAATGAAAAGCAACTGGTTTTTCCTTGTGAAGATGTCTCATGTCTGATTTGTGGCATTAATTCTTTGGCAAAGTTTCTGAGAAGTCTGTCCAATATACAAAGCGGAAGGACACTGTTGGCACATGATGGCATAAATTATATTTCTAGCTGAACAGGCATATGTGTTCTTGATCATATAACTGACAAGGTTAGGTCCAGTGATGGTGTCACCAGAGTAAATAACTGGACAAAGTAGGCAACGGGGTTTGTTGCAAGGGAAAGTTCCAGGGTTGGTATTAATGTGGTATGTCCTATGCTTGTTGGTAAGAATCTTCCTGAGGTTTCTTTCCCTTGCAACAAACTTTACGAATGGGCTAATTACCTTAACCATTACAAAAATAGTTTCCCACTTATCACCCCTGATTAGCCATTCATTGACTCAAATAGCTATTTCCTCCCTCCCTCCCTCACGCTCCCCCCACCTTCTGCTGTACTAAATCTGATTTGTCAGTTTAATAATGTGTTCACTTTTTTCACTGTATTCCTTTGCTCTATATGGTCATGCCAATCCTCTTCCAGAATATGATCTGCGGAAGTGGGTCTGGCCCACAAAAGCTCATCACTTATTAAACCATCTTGTTAGTCTTTAAAGTGCTACACAGTTTTTCCTTTTGTTTTAGCAAGATCAGACTAACATGGCTACCTCTCTATTACTAACCATTGGCGAGACAGCTTTAGAATTTTTCTGTCAACTAAGCTACTGCCTTTTGGGGAGGTGGAGAACCCCTCTCGTTGCAGTAGTGACTGTCTACACTGAAGTGTGACAGCGACATGGCTGTAGCATTGTAAGTGTGGGTATACACCTAGGCTGTGTCTTCACTGGGCCACTTATTCTGGAAAAGCAGTCACTTTTCCAGAATAACTTGCCAGCTGTCTATACTGGTCCCTTGCTTTTCCGGAAAAGCAATGATGATCTACTGTAAAATTTTCAGTGTTTTTCCGGAAAAACTATGCTGCTCCCGTTCGGGCAAAAGTCCTTTTCCGGAAAAACTGTTCCGGAAAAGGGCCAGTGTAGACAGCACAGTAGTCTTTTCTGCAAAAAAGCCCCGATCGCGAAAATGACAATCGGGGCTTTTTTCCGGAAAAGCGCGTCTACATTGGCCATGGATGCTTTTCCGGAAAAGCATCCTGCCAATGTAGATGCGCTTTTTCCGGACATACTTATAACGGAAAACTGTTCCGTTTTAAGCATTTCCGGAA